CTCCAGGACTCATCTGAACACCTGTAGGCACTTGGAGGCTGCTGATCTTTGCATCCCAACATGCAAGTGTCCACTTGGTTTACTTATATCTCTGCTGTGTCTCAGGGGCTCTTCATGTGCCTGGATCAGATGGAGATGTCTGCACCACAGACATGTGGGGTGAGATGAAATGCATTTGCACTGGTTAAATGTTCACTGGCTCTGCTTTGGAGGGCTCTTCCAGACCTTCCTCACTGAAGAAAGTTACCTGCTAATGGCTCCATTTATTTCCCAACATTTTCTTTCTCTACCCCAGCACACACTAGCTCCATAACAACAAGCACCATTTTCAGTCCTTGCCCACTGACTCCATAAGGTGGGCAGTGGGATGGAGGACAGCATCATCCCACCAAAGGCCAAGCCGCAAGGACAATACCTGCCCTCTGAGGGCACGAGCAGACGTCTATGTGCCTGGAGAGAGGCAACGGCACTATGCTGCAGGTGTCTGAGGCAAGAGAACAGGATATGAGCAGCATAGCATCTTTATTCCTGCTATAAGTCAAGACCCCAGTGGCAAAGGGCAGCTCTTCTGTAAGCTCTGCTCCCCAGGTGATCATTGGTAAGCCAAGCTAAGGCAGTAATAGGTCTCATGCTATCAGTGAAACCGCTGCCTTGCCCTTGGAGAAGCAATACTGAGCCTTTGCTCCCTTTGGGACCTTTGTAAAAAGATGACAAGGGCTCAGGGCTGCCCTTCACTGAATTTTGGCATTAATGGAAAGCTTTATCAAGCAGCAGTGCTCTGTACGAGCCGCCTCTTTCGGCAGTCTTATCAAGGCTTTGATAATGGCATATCTAATCTAAACCAATATGAACTGGCGCTTGCATGTCTATGACTTGGAAGTTACAGCTTGGAGGCAGCCAGCCTCCAGGAGACTGACACAGCTGTTTTAAAAAGAGAACAATCTGGGAAAGGTGCCATATTTCATTTCAGTGCTGTCTTGGTAATGCAACACAACAAAAACTTGGTGGAAATCAAGAGGGACAGAGATATCACAGCAGCAGCACCATCTTTTCCCATCCAGTCTTTTGAAGTAATACAGCATGTGGCCTGCTAAAGAAACCTTTGTTCCTCAGGGTTAAAAATAATCAGACCGAAGCTGTGAAAACTGGGCAGCAGACCAGGTTCCCAGGTACAAGGGCAGCAGAAATATGGGTGACCCAAGCAGTAATATGGGTTGAGACTGAGGGAAGCCCACCTGGGGATCTGTGACTGGCAAGCTTGTGACCAAGCTCTTAACAGAACGGCTGGGGGTTTTGGGGTGTCCAAGTGGACCTGTGTTACAGAAATCCATGACTGAATCAGCAAAAGCCCTGGCTTGTAGGTTTTCACATTTGGGCTAAGAAAATCCTAGCATAGAGCCCAGTTCCACCTTCTTAAAACACTGAAGTGAAACCAAAGTCTTTGGTTTGGTGAAAAAAATCTGAGGAGTCACTGGTGGGACAGATAAGAAGAGCAAGAGAAGAGATAGAGGCGAGGTGCATGAAGACATTCCCAGACCTCCATAAGGCTGCCAGGTATCCCATCCTGGGCTACAGGAAAGTGCCTCTCCCCACACAGTGCTGTAGAGTCCTTTTCATAGTTCAGAAGTTAAATAAGAGTTTTATTTCAAACTGGAGGAGGCAGAGAAGGATTTTTGCTGCAGGAGCCCTGAGACACAAAATCTTGTTCCCCACCATAAAATCCAAATTGTCAGGAAGCTGTGAGCATAGGAGGGTGGTTTCCCAGTGCCCTGGCAGACATGGAGTGAAAGTGAGAGCTGGGACTGGGAATCCCAGGGAAAAGTTGAGGGAAGGTCATAACAGCCTTGCTGATTCTCTTTCTGCAAACCAGGTTCAGGTTTCAGGGTATGGATTTAGTTCTAAACAAATGGTCAGTTGTTAATTGTGTTAATGCAAATCAGGTGCATATTCATGGTTCTGGTTAAAGTGATGTGTTTTAAAAGATCCTGTGTTCTGGTGGGGAGATGTATAAGTATTCTGAACTTTGCTATTGAGATTAAGTTTATCTCACTTGCTGTTTGCTCAGTAAGCCTGGCTAGATAATAATTACCCTGGCCAAATTTCATTCAGTAGGGGTTTCTTCTTTTTTTCATAAGAACTTCTGCATTTCTTTACTGGGGGAAATAAAAGAACACAAGTCCAACAGACAGTTGGTTGCATTTCCAAACTTGCCAGCAGTGATCCATAGTCCACATTTATCCAACACACCAAAGCTGGGAGCATAGATATGTTATATCTATCCACAATAAGTAGAAGTGCAGAGGATACCTGCAGAAACTTGAGTCCCAAATGTGGTGAATTCTGTCATGAGTTGTCCATGTCCTCCAACTACTTGAACAATTTCTGCCCAGTTATCAAGAGTCCTGAACAATTATATTCCCCTTTTAACATTTGATGGGCAACATCCAGACTTCAGGAGCCTGGACTGCCCAGGGGGAGTTCTCAATCAATTGCTGGTGGTTTTCTAAGTGGTTTAAACTGTCTAGATTAGGCATGATAACCATTTAAAAGTTTGTGGGACAAAACCTGGTGGGATTTTCCAAATCCTATTTTAGGTTCAAGCCTCATTAGCTTGGTGGTTGTATCTCCTTTCAAGCTGGCATGGGTCTCTCAGAGAGATTGTGGGTCTGGGAAGTGTGCAGTGGCTGAGATGTCAGGCTTCCTTGGGGGCTTGGCTCCTTCAAGCACCTAAGAGTGGATTCATTTTGGATAATATGAAACGTTTACAAATGCCCTAGACATGTAGGCTTCTTCTGGAGAGTCTGGAGGGGGATAGGCAACCCTGGGATATTACTCATAGCGTGTTTCTCCTATTTCTCTCCTTTGACTTACCTAGATTTCAGCTCAGAGGTACTCATTGCACTGGATGTGGCTGAGGTTACCTGAGAAAGGTCTCTTCCTACTGACTTAGCAGCTACCCCTTCTCCCTAGCCTGCCCGTGGAAATGGGTGACAACCGGACATCCCCCCCAGCAGAGGGACATGGATAGACAAGGCCGGTTTGGGAATGCATCTCACTGAAAAATGAATGAAAACCGCAACTCCAGGCTGCTCCAGTTGACAATGGCGGGGGAAAAATGAGCCATGCAGAGCTGAAGCTTCCCCATGGTGATCACCCCACTGCGCATCAGGAGTGCCATGCTCTGAAATTAGTCAGATGGAAAAATATTCAAGTGGTTTTTTTCAAGTCTGAATCTCCCCATCATGCAAAGAGGGGAGACCCAAATTGCCTGGAGGAGCAGCCAGAGGTCCAGGGCATGAATGCATGGGAGGCACACATGTGCTTCCAGGTGGCCCATGGCTGGAGAACATTGGCTAGCAGGAGGCAGAGAGCTGCCAGCTCTGGCTGCTGCCAGGACGAGGCCGGAGAGCTCAGTCACCACCGTCCCCACGAAGAACACACTGAAAAGGGACATGTGGTAGCGCAGTCCTGCGTGACCACGAGTTATTCACTCAGGGTGGGGGAAAAAATGAAATGCAATTCCTAAGGTGATGTCATTCCTGTTGGGAAGTGGGGGATAAAAGGGAAAAGAGCTGAAAAGCTGTTTGGAGAAATTGCTGAATCAACCCACCCCCCCATGAGCGCTCTCTGAACCTGCCTGGCCACCGGACGCCTCCCCCCAACCAACTTCACCCACTGCCCGCCCCACCGGCAGAGGTTTTTCCCTCTCCCGCCTCGTCGGGCAGACCCTGCCTGTACTAATTAACCAGAAACTGAGGCTGAATGCAGCCGGGCAGTGTCACTGTGCACCACTGCAGCGCAGAGTGGAGGTGGGCAGCTGAGCCTGCAGGAGCAGGACGGGAGGCTGCAGAGGGCTCTGACAGCATCTCCAAATTGGAAGCAGAAAGGGGTTTTTTTCCATGCTTATCCATTATTTCACTTTTAAAAATGCCAAACATGCTATAAGAAGGCAGAATGGAATAATTGCAAAGAGGAGAAGACATATGAGTGAAAAGGGAGAAAATCCTTGAGCTGGTCACTTTGGGAATGAGGAGGAATTCACAGAGGCAGAGGATGAGATGGGAGCCAGAAGCTGAGCCTGGGAGTCCAGACCCAGAGGACAAATGCTCAGGTGCTGTGCAGCAAGCCAGGACACTCAGCCAAGGGAACCACACTGGGAGAGGAGCCCCTGAGACCTGCTTTGGAGGGAGGAATTGGAGACTGCTGCTGGCCCTACTTCTGACACGGCGTTTGGGAGAAATGCAGCTCCTTCAGTACACGAGTGACTGTGGTTCCTCTGGGGAAATGAGAGGAAAGGGGGTTTTGGCCATGGCTCCTGGCAAAAGCCTTGGTAAATCACTAATGGCACTAGTCCATCTATCCACATGAAACCCCTTTCTTGGAAGCAAGGCCACAGTGATCGACTCTGAATTAAACTGCAATCTTCAGAATGGGCCAGTTCGAGATTTGATTTTGAGCCATGTTTTTTTTTCTTCAGGGGATGATGATTTTGTGAGTACACCTGTGTTACACCAAAACCCACCATTAGAGAGGACTGTGAGGCATGTGAAGGAGTGAGCAAGTTACTCCCTGCCAGCGTGCAGCCACTACTCTACATGCCAGTGCTAAAGACCCAGTGAGCAGAAACCCCAGGGGTGTCAGTTCCAGGGGTCACCATGATCTTTCACCACTTTCTCCTCTTCCAGATGTGCGCTTCCAGACTGTGACCTGATTAGATGATTTGGCTCGCTCCTCTGATAATTAATCTCTTTGCACATTTTTTTTTTTTTTTATCCTTTGTTTATGGATGCCACGTTGCTACCTCCATAAAATGGGTTTATGGGATTTCCCTGCCCCCACACTGTAAATCAAGGTCTAAAAATGTAGAGCAATTTATCACTGACCATTGCCCAGTTTTATGTTTGAACGTGGCCGTAAAAGAATTACATCATCTTACCTCTGACCAACTTTTAAGGCAAAAGGACCTTATAAAACCAAGCTCTGCTTACCAGCAAGGCACCTTCTCTTGTGTTAGGAGCACAGAGAGCCTTTCCATCATGAGCTTCACTGGAAAGTATGAACTCCAGTCTCAGGAGAATTTTGAGCCTTTTATGAAAGCCCTTGGTAAGTGCCTGCACATGCTGTGTGCTGCTTTGCTTCCACAGACACCACTGATATTTGGGAATTCAACTGTGCTGATGTGCTGATGATGTAGATTGAAAACATCTCTCAGATTTCCTATTTCTGTCTGTCATTTTGAAATTGTTGGGTTTATTTTAATGCATATGCATGGAGATGGGATCTCAAAATAGAAGAGAAAGCGTCTCTCTGGCTGGTGGCTGGAGATCAAGAGATGTTGGGTGAGGTTTTATGGCTTGCAGGAAAACAGTCCCAGCGGGCTCTGCAGCTGTGGGCCAGTGCGGCAGGGTGCTACACACACATGATAAACCAGTGGAACTTTGGTGGCTTAGGGTGACTGCAGATCTGTTCCATCATGCTGTGAAATTTGAGGATGAGCAGGACATTGCTCAGCCCACCGTGCTGCTGCTAGGGGATGCTGCAAAGCCCCAGATTCTACCATTCATCAGAAAAATAGTCAGTGTTGTTTAAATGCTTTATGATGAATGTGTCTAGCCAGAGTTCCACCAGTGTCTGTGCCAGGGAATGTGCTCCTGCAGGGATTCAGGAGGCTTTGCACTACTTCTGCACAGTCATGTGCTGGAGGGTTCTACCTGTCAAATTAGCTTCAGGCTTTGGGAGAAGACGTTAGTGAGCTGGTTCTGGGGGACTCTGAATCTCATTAAAAAACTACTTGGTTCCCTCATTCTGCTTCCATTTATTCCATTTTCTCTGCCTGCCTCTCAGTGAAGTAAAGAAAACAGGATTTTTCTCTTTTCATCTGGTGTTTAGCCAGGCAGGTAGCTGTTCTGCTCCCAGCCAGGTCAGTGAGACAAGGGAGAGGTCTAGTGCCCACACAAAACCCAGAGTGACAGCATTTGTTATTCTTCCACCCCAGAAGACTCAGGGCCATGTGACCCTTGGGGAACCATCATCCTTGAAAGGTTTTTACACACTGGAATACAAATTGTCCTGGCTGTGGGTCCCCAAATCCCACGACATTCACTCAGCAGCAGCAATCTGCTCCAAGGTCCAGCTAGTATCTCTTGTTCCTGCACAGGGCTTCCCGATGACCAGATCCAGAAGGGCAAAGACATCAAGAGCATCTCAGAAATCGTGCAGGATGGGAAAAAGTTCAAGGTTACCGTGACCACTGGCTCCAAAGTGCTGCACAATGAGTTCACCATTGGGGAGGAGTGCGAGATGGAGATGTTAACAGGAGAAAAAGTCAAGGTGAGTGATCAGCAACTACTCTGCCAGGGCTGCAGTGGCACAGGGACATCAGATTTCCTTTCCAGCCATTCCCTCTGCACTTGAGCAAAGCGAATGACCAGACCACAGGTGTAAAAGCTGACACAGGAAAAAGACTTGGGTAATTCCCCAGCCTAGTTCTCTCTCTCACAGTTTGTGTGAATGATTTAATATAACAGGAAGGGTCTAATTGCTGAAACCAGCTCTGCAGATGTGACACCCACTGACCTGCTCCCTGCAGGTCCTCTGCAAGTCTTTTAAGGACACATTTCCAAAATGAAAAGTCCATTTCTGAGCCACCTTCCTGGGAAAATCAGAGCCCAAGACTCTGAAACTCCCATCTCCCCTCTTTGCTTTTGCAAAACAACTTTCCCCACCAGCACTTCAGCAGATGAAGCCCTGCATTTCTAAAGATATTTTAATAGCCAGTTTGGAAAACACTGGAAGCCAGTGTTTTAATAGCCCATTTGGGAAAGGGGGATAGAGACACTTCTGCAAATTTTTCTAACAGTAAAATGTCTGAAAGATTTGAGGTGGAAAAGGGTTGACTTTCTGTCATGCTGCAACACAAAACATACCCCCACCCTCATTTTGTTGACCTAAAGGTAGTGCAGGAAAGTCAGCCAATCATAAACCAATAAAACTCTCCTTTTAAGTTCCAGCAGCTGTCAGATTCTCTGCTAGCCTTTACCACTGCTTGTGTTTACACTGGGTGAGATGATTTGGCAAGGTGAGGATTTATCACCCTTGAAATTGGGTCAGCTCCCGTTCCTGGACATTAGTTTCCAATGGTTCATAAAATGTCAAGGCAACACCACTGGCAAATATTGCCTCTCACCTCTCCCTTGGGAGATGATATTGCAGGGACTTTTGAAAGCAGGAGGGATAATCACCCAAAAAAATGCCCCAGTTAATTGGGCTCTGAAAGCCGTACCGGCTGTATCATGATTTCCAGCATCACTGAAGTCCCTTGCACATAAACTAGGGGGAAATGGCTATTAGAAAAGTTTTGCCCTCTGTAAATCAGCAGCTCAAGGGCAGATGAACATGTCTTATAGTTGGACAGACAGATGAACAGAAATGGGTTTTTCTGGGTTATTTGTTTGAGTAACTTCAGCGATCAATGATAGCTGCCCTGGGGGTGCTGGTGCTGTTTGTAGATTTTTTAGATGTGCAGCTCCTGAGGGGCAGAGATTCAGCAGATGTGCCTGTCCCTCTGAGAGCTTTCCTGCCACGACTGAGTTTCTGAAAGCTCCTTAAATAGTTTCCCACCTTGACCAAGACTCCCCCCAGACCCATGCTGTTGCCCAGTTCCCTGTTACCCCACCCCAAAGGAGTTTACAGCAGCTATGTGCAACAGGTGGGTGGTGGAGAGGAAATGATATGGCATGTCCTGGCCCAGCTCAGGTGGCTCTGCAGTCCTCTCCTTGTAGTTGTGCAGCTCCTTTTGGTCTGGGTTCTGCATGAGGTGTTGCCTCAAGGAGCATCAGGGCTGCACAGAGGCACCAGCATTGTCAGGGTGAAGAGCCTTCCTTCTTCTCCCCCAAAACTCCTGCATCGGTGTGATGCCAAGGGATGCCAAGGATCCCTGCTCTGGCATCTGAGTGTGGGAGTCATGAGTGAGTCTCAATTTGAAGGGGAGAGAGGTAGATATGGTGGCAAAATCACATCCCTGTAGAGGCCAAAGTAAACATCCATACCCTTGTGTTGTGGTCACCATCAGCACAATCCCCTCTCCTCCTCCTCCCAGGAAAGCCAAAATCAGCGAGGGAGCAGCTTGCTCCAAACAGCTTACAGAGGAGATGGTGGCAACTCCATACAGAAGAGGAAGGACAAAATGCAGGGGTTGAGATGGTCTTGAGATGGTCTCCTCCAATAACATGAATGCCTCTGTCTTCTATCAGGCTACTGTTCAGCTGGAGGGTAACAACAGACTGGTCGCGAACCTGAAAGGGCTGAAATCTGTCACTGAACTCAATGGAGACACCATCACCAATGTAAGTGCAGAAGAGAAGGGCAATGGCTGGAGTAACGGTGCATGCAGTTACCCGCAGGTGGCTGGGCCCCAGAAAGCCTACAGAGATGCTGGGGCCTTAGGGAGGTGCTGGAGATGAGCACGTCCTTGCACTCAGGCTTTGCAACCAAAGTTGATCTGCTGGTCAGGCACTGAAGGCAGTGTTTCATTATAGTCCAATCCAAAAAGTACTCTTTAAGACCCCAGTAGGCATGGCTGATCAAAGTTTCATGTAATGGGGGCATGTTCTCACCCACCCAGAGGAATAGGTATGTGTCTGGGCCTGACACTTTTAAAGAAGAGAGGTGCAGCAGACTGATCTCAGTGGAGGGATGCCAGATTATCCCTACCTGCTTTAGATTCATGAAGAAATCCAAAATTTTTACAATTTAGTTTATAGGAGATAGACTGGGGACAAGTCCTGTTCTGATTTGCAAAATGTTCCTTTCCAAGTAGAGTTTGGAGACAAGCACCATGAAAAGCTAACACTCTCCATTTCTTTTTCAGACACTGACTATGGGAGACCTCACCTACAAGAGAATCAGCAAGAGAATCTAGAAGCCCTGCTCATACAAATCATTTTACTGTGTAAAATGTGTCCATTAAAGTAAAATTTGTATTGAAGGCCTCTTTGTTATCATCAACATCTTCACTGTTGCTATAAAGAGATGCAAGACTCCAAAACTCAGGCAAGCCCTGGTAGAAGTTGGGCAACAGGCTGGGCCAAGGCTGTGCTGATGTTGGTGGATGGAGCCGGGCCAGGGCACAGGCTCCGAGCCATTGCGTGACCCTCTGAGATGTGCTTCACGCTGCTGAGTGCTCTTCCAGCCCCTTCTTGGGGACAGGTGCCAGCATCCTGCTGGGGATGTCCTGGTGAGTGGTGTACCCACAGCTGCCCTGGCTGGATGGATGGAGGACCACCAGGCAGAGAAAGGGCTTTGTTCCCTTTCCTTACAAACATGGCCACGTGACCACAAGGAAGGGGTAAAGGATGGGGTGGTTTAAGTGGGCTTGAGGAAATGTCAGTGATCCTGCCTGGAAAGCTGCCTTGGGGAAGCAACCAGCAGTGGGGCAATCTGGGTGCCCTAACTACCATCTTCATCCTCACACCTCTGCAACAGGATCCAGCCCTACAGGTTCTGGCCACCCCATCTCCTCCCCATCCCTCCCCAACCAGCAGGAGGGCCCCAGACAGCCTTCAGGTGTCCAGTGTATGTTTCACCCCAAACTGCACCTGATAAATTGGGTTGAACTGGAACTGAACACTTCCAGGGTGAAATAAAGGGTTTTTTTCTCCTGGCAGGAGATGGGCACTGGTTGTTCACAGTGTAGATATAGAAGGACCACCAAAGTCATCTCCCATGCTCTTGCTTGGCTCTGCAGATGGGATGGAGATGTGGTTTTCTGACGCACACAGGAGAAGCAACTCTTCCTTCTGAGCTGCATTTTCCAAGCCCTGTGCTTGGATGATGACTGGGAATTGTCACTGGGAAATGGGTGATACACCTAGCTGGTGTGATACACCTAGCTGGGATGATGTTCTTACAACTGCTCAAAGCTGATCAGGATGTTAGGAAAACACCGCAAGTGCTTCCCCATCTCCTCCTGCAACCCCAACACGTGCCAATAAACGACCAGTTTGTCCTCACAAGTATCTCTCCCACAATTCCTCTCTCCTTGGGGAAGGTTTTCATGTTACAGGTCAACACTGATCCTCATGCTGAGAACTGAACCAATATGGACTGTCACACTGGGCATCAGATGGGCACCTCATGGACAAACGGAAGGGCTTAGCTCAACAGCGCCTAAAAAACAGATGTTGGTCCCCAGTGAACTCATCTTAGATCTGGAGAAACATCAGCAAAATCACTGAGAAACGTCCAAGAGGAAAAGCTGTGGTTTTGCTTTCTTCCTATTCTGCTGAGGAGCAGGTAGGAGAGTCTTGAACAAACCATCCCTTTTCATCTTTTGGCTGCCATTGAAGGTCTGGAACAAATCAGCTGGACCTTGAAATAGATGAGCAGAGAGCAAAGACCTTTTTTTATCTATAAACCCGACCATTGCCCTTAGACTTTTCCTTAGCTCTGTTGGCTGTCCTCTGGCAGCTGATCCATGGAATATCCTTTTTTTTTTTTTTTCTCAGATTTTGATTAAGCACCTGTCTAAGCTGAAAGGCGGGTGCTGAAAGGCATCAAAGCCCCCAACTCACCCTGAAGGTGAGCAAAGGTGGATCCCCCTCCCTGGAAGCTGATTGTTCAGTTAGAGCAATTCACCCAGCCAGGGCACCACAGCAGTGCAATAGACTCATCTCATGTCCATCTGCTGCCATCACTACAGGCATTTTCTGATTTTTAACTACGGAGACTAATTTACCCTAATTAATTTATCCTGAAGTAGGAATTCCACTTAGTCTTGCTTGCAAAGTGCCCACAGTTTGATGTTGCACTCATGTCAGCTGCAGAATCATTTTTCAGCAGATTTTCATCAGAAAAACACCACTTTACACAAAACACCATCTGTGGCTCTTACTCAGTTTGCACTCAGTGCTCACAGGCATACATAACACTTATTGGAACCATCTTCCCACTTTTACCATCCCTTGATCAACCACCCATGAACATCACTGGAAAGAAATGATGTAATCACAAGGAAGTGATGGGAAAAAAAAACACTTTGGAAAGAATCGATTAAAATTTAACCAAGGACTTCAGGATCAGGACTTGTATAGAGAGAAATAGGTTTCCAGTAAGGATGTAAATAATTTTGTAACAGGTTTTTTTGATTCAATTTTTAATGCTGGTGGTAGAAAAAAGATGTTGCTTCTGCCAAGATCTCTTCTGCTTTGAGCCCTCAGAAGATTTCTCAGGACTCCCCCCCAGCAGGTCCATGCTGTCAGACTGATGCCACTGGAAACAATCCTTGTGGATATATCACATTCCTATATCTCATTCTCAATGTTTGGAGGTGCCACAGGTGATGTTATCCCACAGGCATGCATTTGTGCCAAGCTTGGGATTTATTCTTTCTTGTGGAAGAGGCTTGGTGAGGTCTCATTGCTGGGTTCAGGCATGACTTGAATCTTTTGGTTTTTGAGGGCAGCTTCCCTCATCTTGTAATACATGAACTCATTCTGCTGGAACATGCGCAGCTCCATCTCCGTCTGGACACGCATGACCTGAGGGACATAACAGGTTATAAAACCTGTGACACAGGGGATCTCGAAGCAAGTGAATAACACACTGCCTAAAAATGGGGACCATCCTTCAGGGATGTCCTAGGCCAGATAATGACTGATGCACCTCACTCTAGGTGTCCCAGAAGCAGGACCAAAGCTGATTGGACACAGTTATCTGGCTACTTTCTCAGACCTGGTTGCTTGTGTACCGTGAAGATGAAGAAGGCATAAGCCCTTCCTTCACCCAGCAATTCCACAGGCTGCTGGGAAGCCTCACTCTCCCAAACCTGATGCAGTACCTAGAGACAATGCTGTGCAGAGCTACAAAGGAGTGCATTTCCCATCCACGCCCTGTGCTCGACCCCTGATGTGACCCATCACCGGCGTGGGGGTCACTCCTGTAGGAGGAGGCAGCGGAGGAGGAGGATGCTCAGTCCCTCTTTGACCACATCATAATTGCACTCCTTGCATTCCAGGATTCCAGGATGAGCAGAATAATTCTTAGTGCTGCATTATAGCAGAGACTCAGGAGGGATTTTAGGAAATCTTTTCACACCTGTCTGTGAGTTTATTCAATCCTTGGTTTAGGAGCACAGACAGAAGCATGTGCTATATATCCCCTATTTTCCTCCTAAAGTAAGTGGGAAAGGAAATAAAGAAATGGAGGTGGAGTCTAGCCCTCTGCTATATATAGGGAAACAGTCAACAGACAAGTTGGCTTTAGGTACTACTCATTTTTCTCATGATACAAAATGGCACTAATAAAAGTTACAGCTCTGCTATATCAGGGACAAAAACATCAATAAAGGATTTCAGTTGGGATCATGTAATTTTTCTAGCTAATAAAGGAGAATGCTGTAAAGCCAAGAGGTCACATCAGGTGAGTTAGATGCTAAAGTAATTACAGATCCCCCGCTACAACTGTAAAGGGTTCATCATAAGTGAGCACATGTCATTCCCTGGGATCTGCAGCTCTTGACTCTAAGCTAGGACACAGACCTATCAGTCATTTGAGAAAAAAAACGCACTGCAGCTAGGGCTGGGGAATGGTAAATAAAGAAGAATGAACACTGATAAAGAAAATCAGTTGGTAAATTGGGAACATCAATGATACATAATTTGATATAGTCAAGTCATAATGCCATCCATCCAAGAGCCGCAAAATCAGCCTGTTTGAAGAATGGGAGGCTCTGTCCTTGAGCATAGCACTTTCAGAGAAGATTCTTTGGGGCTCAGTAGCTATTTTTAATGTCTGTCCTGGTGCAAGATAAAAGCTATTTTTCAGGGATGCAAATTTCCCATAGGAAGGGACATGCATTTCTCAGCAGACTGTAACATCATGTAGAGAAAACCACAGCACTAGTAAGAAGCAGTCAATACTTGATACAACTCTCAGTTCTTAACACACGGGTTGTTTCCACCACTTGAACACAATTTTGCACTGATGGACAACAGAGACAACACAGGAGATGACACCTACCTCCAGGTCTTTGGTAATAGGGTGGGAAGGTCCATGGGTTATCAGGAGAATGGCATAGGCTTTACAGATCAAGCCATGTCCGGCTTCAATGAGACCAGCATGCCAGTGAGTCACTCCTGCCCGCATCACAGCCATCCCCAGCTGTGCATTGTTGGGATGGTATATTTTCCTGGAAAACATTGAGTAATTTTAGTTCAGGAAAGATCTGGGTTCACAAAAATGTTTGTCAGTGACATGATACATTTGCCAAAGAACAGACTGTTTACTCAACTGAAGGGCCTATTGCATTCAGTGCCACTGAAATGTGCAGCCCTGCTTAGAAAGGGGCAGGTGCAATTTACATGAGGACATGAGTTATACGAGGACATGAGCTGTTGTGAAAGAGGATGAACAGCCTGTGAACAGGAAAAGTTGGATATCTGGGTTGGAGCACACCAAGCTCTGTCATTCCACATTATTTTGGCTCAAACAAAACCCAGCTCTGACCCTACAGCCCAGATGGCACTAACTTAATGCTTAATGCAGTGCCTAAACTGAGAATGCAACACACACCAGCTTTCCCTTCAAAGTGGGCAGAGAAATAGGTGGTTCTCAAAACTCCAGAAATGTTCATCTCGCCCTCTGGAGATGTGTCCCTGCCTCTAGGAACTGTCAGATCACTCCCCTACAGCCAGTACCTGAGGTCTTAAAGCAAGGAAGGACATTACTGCAGTCCTCAGTCTGGACTGAAAAACTGAGAAACAGGGAGGGGAAGAAATTTCCTTTGTGTCCTTCAATTAGATCAGTGCCAGGGCTGGGACATGAAGTGGCTTGTTAAGCCTGCAAGACAGGGAGGGGACTCCATCACCCCTCAAAAAAGAACAAAATATCACAGGTCTTTTGTGGTAGAACTGACCAAAAAGGCAAGTAATGGGTATGATAGGATCTCAGCAGAAGGGTGAATGAGATGACAAAATGGGCTTTTCTCTCTTCTCTATGGTTTCCATTACTTTATGTTTTCTTGTT